CACCTTGACCTGCTGGGCTCCGGCGATCCTTCCGCCTCAGCCTTCCAAGTAGCTGGAATTACAGGCACGCGCTACCACGCCTGGCTGATTTTTTAAAAATTGATTTATTGTAGAGATGAGGTCTCCAAGTCGCCCAGGCACGTCTCGAACTCGCGGGCTCAGGCAATCCACTCACCTCAGCCTCCCAAAGCACGGGATTACAGGCTGAGCCACCGAGCCCGGCTTCTTTTTTCTCTTAATTAGTCCTCTAGAAGTAATGTGTGCACATTTATTACCACTTAACACCTATAAAACCCTGTGTGTGACAGTGTAAAGTTTAATCCAATATCATGAAAGGCCTTTAAACCCAAAGCAGAAGCACCGGAAGATCCTGTTTTGTGTTTTTCCCCCTCACTCTGGGTTTCCCTTTTATATTTGTTACATACACATGCCACTCACTAGGAAATATACTTGTTACATGCACATGCCACACACTAGGAAAGTCAGGCAGCCTCCTGAGCAGCACTAACTCCAAACTTTTCTTTGCAGAGATGCTGAGGATGCAATTTATGGAAGGAATGGTTATGATTATGGCCAGTGTCGGCTTCGTGTGGAATTCCCCAGGACTTATGGAAGTCGGGGTGGGTGGCCCCGAGGTGGGAGGAATGGACCTCCTACAAGAAGATCTGATTTCCGAGTTCTTGTTTCAGGTATGTTCCTTTCAAACTGAATGAGATGATACCTGTAAAATACTTAGCACAGAGTCTGGCTTCCAAGAAATGATAAGCTATTATTGAGGGGATGGGACACGTGCAGTTTCTTTTCAGTAACCTTTGCACAGTGACAGTCTGAAGCCCTGCCTTGGCTTGCCTGTGAGGCTGGTATCCTGCAAATGAAATTGTGCTTGCTGGTAGTGCAGCTTTGGAAGAACATAAACATGCTTCTTATAAAGGAGTTTTCTAATAAGAAGGGAAGATGATGACAAAATCCCTTAAGCTGGAATTCTAAAGACTTTTTTGTTGGACTGTATCTTGCTATCAGACTTACTAGAAAGACATTCCAGGATCCAGATTTGAAAAGCTTACCCAGCCTTGGATCCTAAAGAAAACCAGATTTTGTGGTGGTTTTGGAATTATATATATATTTAAAACCCACAGTTTGGAGTATTGGTATTAAAAAGTGTAGAACATTTTTTCTTTTTTTTTTTTTTGAGTTGGGGTCTCACTCTGTGGCCCAGGCTGGAGTGCAGTGGCATGGTCACAGCTACTGCAGCCTCCATCTACTGGGTTCAGACGATCCTTCTGCCTCAGCTTTCCAAGTAGCTGAAACTACAGGCCTGTGCCACCACACTTGACTTTTTTTTTTAATTGTAGAGATGAGGTCTTGTCATGTTTCCCAGGCTGGTTTCAAACTCCTAGGCTCAGGCAATCCTCTCACCTTTGCCTCCCAAAGTGCTAGGATTACAGCCGTGAGCCACTGCACCTGGCCAGAACATTTCTGTCTAGTGTTGACAAGTGATGAAATGCTAAGCTCAGAGGTTTATGTATCTTCAAAACATTAACACATTGGTAAAGACTATCATCTATGTACTTAAGAATGATACTCTCAGCATCTGCCTGTCTTGTGTCCCTTTGTAATTTTTTAACCCCAGAACTCTATTCCCTCCTTCAGGATGTCATACATTATCTTTTTTTCTCTCCATGCTGCTCTGAAATCCTGCTTAGAAAACTATTAGGAAATGGCTGCAGTCCTGAGCTGTGAGCGGTAAACACAGCCTTTGAGAGCAGGAGCACATTTCCCTTTCATGACAATCAGGTAGGGTTGTATGACTCCCAATTAGTTTTAGCATCTGAGTCTTAGCTTCCCCTCCCCCCACTGTAGTGAAGAATGTTGGTGATCTCTTAAGAGGTACTTTGTCTAGCTTGTCAGTCATTCACACCTTCAGGAAAAATAAACTCTTTAGATTTTTGTTGTTGTGTTGTTACGTTCAGCTACACTTTGGTTATTTCATTGGTTGATTTCAAGATTCTCATGTCCTGTGAAACCCTGTCAGACAAGAAATTATTGGTACTGTTAAATTTCATAACTCAAGTCTTGGGAGTTTGGCATTGATTATGAAGAACAAAGAAAAGGGGCTGAATTTTCAGATGCTACACATATAATGGAATGGACTTTTTGCTCTGTTGGAAAGGCTTGGTCTCTGGAAGATTAGCCTAGGACCAGCTTCTCAAGGTGGTTCACCACATATACTTCCGTGCTCTTTGCTGTTTTTTTTTCCCTTGTAAAGATTTGTGATTTGAAGACCCTCAGGATTTAAGTAATTCATGGAAAAGGGACCATAGGTATTGCTGACTCTTAACGGCATGGCTGAAGGATGTGGGCTCTTCTTTTATGTTCTTTGTGCCTAGGACTTCCTCCATCAGGCAGCTGGCAGGACCTGAAGGATCACATGCGAGAAGCTGGGGATGTCTGTTATGCAGATGTGCAGAAGGATGGAATGGGGATGGTTGAGTATCTCAGAAAAGAAGACATGGAATATGCCCTGCGTAAACTGGATGACACCAAATTCCGCTCTCATGAGGTGGGTCCCTGCCTTCTGTGGAGGAGCTTGTACCTAGATCACTTCACTTGAACCCAACGTAGCAGAAGTAGCAACAGGCCATGCATGTGCCATTTGATGACCTCACAGTACCATGGAAGATCTAGCTTAAGTGGACAAAGGCAAGGAATTTGCTATAACTAAGCTCTGCAGTGTCACAGCAGAGAGAAGTGTACATTCATAGTATTTTTCGCTTGAAGAGAATACTGGTGCAGTCTGTCATGATGTGGTGAGCTGTTCTGTGATACTACCCCATTCACAACTGGCTTAAATAGCAGTGGCCCTCTGTGAACCTAAGTATGGTGGCTGTTCCTCCTCTGGATCTAATTCGGGCTTTACAGGCCAACCTCATCATCTTTGCCCTTCTAGGTACTATTGTCGGGGCCAAGTTGTCGCTTAACTTTTCATTTCCCAAAGTAGTATGGGATCCTTTTTGAAACCTGAGCCACTGTGACTTTTTTTTTTAACTAATTTTTATATTTCTATATATTTTTTTTTTTTTTTTTTTTTTTTT